GTGTTAGGGTGAGTACTGTCGGCACAGCTGGGTGTTAGGGTGAGTACAGTCGGCACAGCTCGGTGTTAAGTGCTGTGTTCAGCCTCAACATGTTCCACGCATATTACATGCTGTGTTTTCAGGAGGGAGCAGAGGCTGCAGCCACAAGATGTCAGAGCAGATGTTCTTCCTCGTGGTAGCTCTTAAGGACACTCCCCTGGTCCTTGTGCCAGTGGTGGTGGTAACTCCCCAGGCCCTTGTGGTGGTGTTGGTAGGTGCTAGTCAGCATTCACAAGCTATGTAGCGTTTCCTACTTTGGAGATGTAAGTCAGCCTCAGGCTTGTCGCTCTTTCTTTTAGTTTTAGACTAAGCGCTGGGGTTCTGTAACTTGTGAAATACAGGATGAGCTGGGGAAGGTTGCAAAAATACATCATAAAATGCAGTCTAAAATGCATTATCAGCTCAGAAGGAACTGAACTCCCAGGACCTGCAACCTTCAGCAACTGGAAGTCCCCTGGTTGCATGACACCTGAGTTGGCCTGTTTTCAGGAGTCATACTGAGACAGACTGATTAGTCAGTGCCTCAGGCATAGGTGTGGCCGGTGCCTGGCCCCGCCCTCAATGATGATGGGTATATAGCCCGTGCTATGCTGTGTTGTTTCCTACCCAAGTTAGAGCATCTGTTTGTCAGTGTGCAAATGTAGTCACCTGGTAATTAAGTGTAGTGTGTGGTGTACAGATGGGCAAAGCTCTAGCTCCCGTTCTTTTATAGCTCATTGTATGCTCAGCCATGTCTTGTAAAATGCATGGCCTGCCACTAAAGAGAGGGTTTGCTGTTTGGAAAATGATGCTCCCCTCAGCAGAAGGCACTTGCTCCCAAGTGCTGAATGGTTTGCTTCCTACTGCAGCAGAAGTGGAGGCAGGTGCCTTTTGGGTAGAAACATTCTAAGGCTGTGGACTTGGCCCTAGTTTTAGTCATCCATAGAGACTGAGTTCTTTGACTGGGCACAGTGGTATACACCTTAATTCCAGCATTCGGGGGTAGAGCCAGGCAAATCTCTGTGAGTTTGAGTCCAGCCTAGTCTACATAACGAGTTCCAAGACAACTAGGGCTACAAGGATAGACCCTGTCTCACAAAAGAAAACAACAAAGGCATGGATGATGTGTATGGCTGGTCACCTGCTTTAGGGCCACATGTGTATGGCTGACCACCTGCTTTAGGGCCACGTGTGTATGGCTGAC